AGGCGGTACAGCTGTATCGGCTGCACCTGTTTACCAAGGCGTTACAGCTGTCTCGGCTGCACCTGGGTACCAAGGCGGTACAGCTGTCTCGGCTGCATCTGTGTACCAAGGCGGTACAGCTGTCTCGGCTGCATCTGTGCGCCAAGGCGGTACAGCTGTCTCAGCTGCACCTGTGCTCCTATTAAAGGCCGTTAGTGACGTGTAGGGAGCTGTACCGGCTTGTCTGAGCTTCAGGGTAGAGTGGGCACTATAATACCAAACATTAGTCAACACCTTTCATGTCGCGCACTTGCCTTACGGTCATTCACAACTTTGAAGATATCTGTCTGTAATTAACTCCTCAAGGCGATGTCGCTATGATACATAATGAGTTTGTTCATCACAAAGGATATTTATGGAGAGCCTTAGACTGCGCTGTAGGATAGAGTGGGCATTATAGTAGATCGTCTTTTGAGCTGAGGAGAATTCTACATCTTGTTGGAGTAGTGACATTCAGCATTCTGCTTAACGCGATGGAGGTTAGACTTCCAGTAGTTAGAACATTACGTAATACAAAATAAGTCAACCTACTAGATTGATTCTCTGAAGAGTCAGACGTTTCAGGTAGCATCTACTATCATTCATCAGAGACTGAGAATGAATCTGAAGACAAGTGTAGCTAATATAGAAATGAATATCTTAAAATTGACATGTAAATGAGGAAATCAAGTAAACCTGTTGGATCACATCATTCACCAGTATATTCAGGAGCAAGGTGCTAGCACTAAGTAACAACTACATTACCTTGAAAAATTGAGACAACTAAAAACTCATATCAATTACGAAAGCACTTAACGTACTTCCCTGTTCGTTTAAAACGGCAAATCGTCAACTACACGACCTTGTGCAAAACCCCCTGCTGCCAGGGCCCATATCTCACTCTTTGTTAACAACATGTATTTCATGCATTGAGAGACTCGCGATAATATGTTATGTATTTTTTGTTTATTTTGACATGGCGATGCTGATGATACCTCCTGAATACCTGAAATGGAATTGAAATGAACAACAGAACGGGACGGTATACGTAGTTCAGAGTTCTGGGATTTTTCAAGCGCAGGCAAATTTCTGTCTTCCGGCGAAAAAAGGTTTTAACTCATCTCTCTGGACCGTCATGAGTTCGGCCGCACCGGGGCATCCACGTGCCGTTTTGTTTCGCCATGCGCCATGCATACTAATCGATACACATAGCATTTGAAACTTGTTGTTTAGTAACGATACCTCTACTGTACTTGGTGACAATGAGTTCCACCCATTCTCGAAAAAAAAAACACCCTGGTCGATAACTCTGAAATAACGTTCGCTGAAGGCGGTGATTCTGTTGTTCTATTCTGGCATCGTGCAGCCCTCGTGTGTGCGTAATCCGGCAACTTGTCATGTTTGTTTCCAGAAGGTTTGAAGTTAGGGGTCACGACAAACAGTATAACAGCCTGTATAAATCAGATTACATCTGCTACATCTGTGCCGTATCTATGTATACTATCTTTTAGATAGTAAATATTTTCCCTTATTATCTGCATCTTTGGACTCTCTAGAAATGAAACTTATTAAATTGTGTGACGTAGTCTTAGAGAGGCAGCAGATGTCAACTTCTGTTTTTAGTTGTTTTTTTTCGTAACCTGGTACATTTCCTAAACCATTTTCTATTTCTAGTCTGGATGGTTGCCCAAAAAGCTTTTAAGATCTTCCTTGTGCCCTTAAGCTTGCTACTGAAGATGTAAGGCTGCTTTTGAGGGGTTCCCGTTGTGTGCTGATGCTGTCTAGAAATGGTGCTCTCTCTCTCTCTCTCTCTCTCTCTCTCTCTCTCTCTCTCTCTCTCTCTCTCTCTCTCCCCTCTCTCTCTCTCTGTCTCTCTCTCCCACCCCCTCTCTTTTTCTCCCTCTCTCACTCACCCTCTCTATGGTTATATGGAGTGGCCGTTTGTCTATGGTTATATGCCTCCCTGTTTGTCTATGATTACGTATACGTGAAGCAGTTTTAGAAACACATCAGCCCTGATCCCCTCCTGACGTGTGAGATCCGCCCTGCTGCCCGGCGAGTTCAGCTCCTCCGTCAGGGTCAAACCCGCGCTGAAGGGGAATCTTCTCGGCTCGTTCAGGGCCGTTAAACTGTACGCGCTAGCCTGTGGGGCCGCTAATGGACGATAATTAACCCGTGCACACAGCGTGGCCTGTAATTTCTATCAGGCCATATAACCGTATTTTGGAATGGAATCCTTTGTGCACACAAATAGGCTATGTGAGAGGGTGACGGATAGAACCCTCAGTGTCAGGACCATATAGTGCAAGATTCCTCTTACGATTATCTTGCGACTAGTTAACCATTATGACGTGGGCTTACCATTGAGATTGCTACCTTTTATAGCGAAATTCAGACTATGGCTGCAATCCATCAGTTCTCGAACAAACCCGTAACATAAAGGATTAACTCCTCAAGATCACAAGAGGCAGCTATTTCTGGTAAACCCGGGTTATGAAAAGGTGGCGATCTTTTTTCTCATATAGTGGGTATTTTGTACAATAAAGGTCTTCATTCATTATGCGTCTTTCGGCAGCTGCTGCCTGGGTTTGAAGACCGACAATTACGGAAATCTGCTCTACTGTCATTCCCAAATTTCCATTTCCTCAGTTTGCAGCTGGGACTCTAGAATTTCTTCTTCTCTTTTAATCTTCCGAGTCAAATAAACAACCTGGTCAGGCTCTGAAAAATTAAAAAAATAGTCATGCTATCGACGGAGAACACTCAAT